AAAGATAGAACGAGCAGGCTACCGCGCCGAAGGGCCGTCGTCTCTCAAACTCAACTGACAGTAAAACATGAGAGCGCATGCGCGTAGTCATGGACACCATGACTGTACGCCCCCGCAAACGCGAGTATTTCCCCATCGCCCTCTACTCTAACTCTCTTCTTGCTCGCACTCCCTAACACTCTGCTCCTGCTCCCGCACGCCCCCTTTAGTCGCTCTATCTCATTCTGTCACTACGAATCCAGAGGCTATCGTTATATATCCCAGAACATCCACAAACTCCACTGATCCACCCTCGTCTCCTCGACGCCTCTCATCCTCTACACTATTTTTTCTATCCGCTTACCGAGAATATTTAATTAAACGCTAATGCAGCACAATCGTTTGTCTATAACATGCCCAAATCATTGCTGTTATTGATTCAGAATGTTTTATCGATTGGTAACCTCCTGTAACGGCTATTCGAAATTTAATCAGTTCAGTAACTCTCCATTTAATGGAAAAAAACTCAAATAATTCTCCATTTTTAGGTTTGAGAAATGTTGAAGTATTAGCTGATTATACGCCGAATCAATATATTTGAAAGTTGATAAATTGATTAGAAACTTGAGCTTTTGAAACAATTCATTCTTAATCTACGCATTCTTTGAGATACCTGACCCTTACCACATCGGATTTTGATGCCCCATGATGATGTCACTAAGATTTGACTTGTGATATGCCTAGTCCTTTAATCTCCAACTGTCAAGTATCACATCTTTATAACGCACCACCAACAAAGGTCCCAAAATCTTTCCTTTATTTTCATGCCGGTCTTTGGCTGCCTCTGAATGGAAGCAATTTCGAAGAGCAGGGACAAGCTAAGTAATTCGATGTTTTACGGAAGATAAACAACATAATGTCTATGCGGTGATGGGCATTGGAGTCCTTGCAAGAGGATGAAGTCACATGAGGCAGGACGAGGACAAAACACATACCCCTCTATTCTCAGTCCCCAGGACACACTTCGTTATACACTCACACGCGATGCATATATCTGGTTGCTTGGATGCATGCCTGAGATATATGCCAGAAGTATGTACTGTGGCATTCCAACACTTGAGAAAGTTGTATATTTGCTGACAAGCATGTTGTCAATATCAAGTATATGCTGTAGACCAGTAATGGGGACTTATGGATAAAAAAATGCATATTTAAGGCCAGGGTGGGCCGTCGTCGAACGCAATCTTTTGTTCAAATTTTATCTCGTTAGCCTAAAATACATTAAAATTGGGGGCACCATTCGGATGGTTATGAAAAGATGATGAAAAAAAAGAGGAAGAACGTATTGAATGTCGCGAATTATAGATAGTGCAGCACCCCATGCAGCCCTTAATCTGTGGGACTTTTTCAATTGTTTTCAATCAAAATTATCAAAATACCCTCATGGAAAAAATATATTAGAAAATAATTGTATATCACAAATATGTATAAATACGTATATATAATTCATATATACTTCAACTGTGTAAAGCTTTCCGTGTGGGTAATTTTAGAAAATTATTGTACAAGATAATTAGGCCTGATATGATTCGCATTTCTTATGAAAAAACGGATTCGTTAGAATATATCGAAAAATATTTAAACGACTAGGCAATCATGCGCGCTAGACCCCGAAGTGAGCGCTGTAACGCACAATAACATTCTCGTATAGTCATGGAAATAATCAATCGATCCATGGAACAATAGGAAGACGAAAAAAAGATTGACAAGGAAAACAATCATTCATTGTCAATCTCTTTTATGACAAAGGCTATAATTAAAATGCAAAGTATTAAATTATTAATTGAACCAATAATCTTAATTTGCGAAAGAATTAAAGATTTATTAATTTTTCAAGTCGATAAATACTTATCGTGAAAATACTTCGTGATTCTATGGTGAAAAATGTCCTACAATTTAAATCATAAGATTTTCAACGGAAAGGAAAAAATTGTAGAACTACTGAGAAAAATTGTCGATTCTCACGTACACGGTATAATGCTTTCCGACTCTCATTCCCGTGCAGGGTGGTCTGCAAAATTTACGAAACGATAACGGGAAAAGGCGAACGCAGAAAACGTGCCAAGTCGCGCTTTTCCCGCTCCTCTGAAAGCGCCTATATGTAATACGTATACATTGAGTGAAAAAGGAACACGAGAATAAGCTTACGGTATTTCCACTGGGACATAAGTAGGTACCAATGAAGAAGGAGAAAAGAAAAAGAGAAAGCGAGAAAAATGGAGACTGAAAATGAAGATGTGTGGTATTATTTGCCTAATAAAGTTCTTAACACGATGGCTAACCACATGGCAAAGACTTAGGGTCATGCATTAAAGTCCTGCGTGTATGTTTACCGTGCGCTGGTGGCAAGGCGTCACAGCCTTCTGCGACCCCACCTGTAAATTACTTCAGGATCTGTCACTAAGAACACATTTTACACGCAACTTGCTCTGAAAAAAAAACATCAAAGTATTTACGCGATTAATCATTCTTCAAACTTTTTTTCTTTGATTCACATCCGAAATTACTCGAGACAATAGCGTCTCGTCTTCATAATAGTATGCGCACACTTGAATATAACTTTCGTATTCTGTCGTTACCCTCGTCCGATTTAAACCTGTATCTACTTGATTCAATTGATTCAAGCGTATAATCGATTGCGAATAGAATTTTTGAAAAACAAATGAAGGTTTAGTGCCGTGAATTGGTAATTTCGGGAAAAGATTGATTCAAATGTCAGGTTTGGTGCTAATGAGATCAAATCGTTGCAAATTTCAAACATGAATGCACGCATTCAACCGACGCTGTTTTCCTTAATATGTGTATGTAGGATTCATTCAAGATATCTGAAGTGAACAACACTAAACGATGAGCTACAGCAAATTGAACAAAATACTTTTTGACTGTTCAGGAGAGTGACATATTTGCTTTGAGTAGTCAAGCATTGCACTTAATGTCCACTTTGTGCATATACTCAACCTCGTATAATTAAGCATGAATGTAGTAGCAGTGCAATAATCCCACAGGTTTGTTCAATATTCATGATATCTCATCCGTTCTAGGTCAGTGTCTTGCAAAAGCCCCCAGACCTGACCTATACATAGAATATAAAAGCGACTTCCTCTCACTAATACCGCTGTGGGATCAAAATCATAACAAACCGGATATTTATGAAACAAGATTTTGAATATATATATTTGAATAAATCTCAACTAATAGACCAAAAATAATACATGTGAAGATTGTTGTACATCTTTCCAACTGTATTCATTCAATTCTTTTATTTCGAGCATACTTATTTTCTCACTTTATTTAAACAGTAAGTTTTTCACTAACATTCTCTCTTGGTCCCAAAATGCATCGAGGGAATTCCCCAAAACCCTAAATACAATCATAATAAATATGCCTGCTCACGCAAACTTTCTATTCACACTTTAATTGTCTATAGTGTCTATACGACAAACAACAGAAAAACTTGACATTTATAGTAGTATGTCTAGGTTAAAGGCATAAATTAAATAACTAGCGATACATCAAGATATTCTGTGCTAACTTGTGTGAGTGGCTTTGAAAATTAGCTTGAGCTAAACATTATGTAGGGTAATAAGTTAATTCAGGTCCATTGGTGAATGCGATTATTTCAATTGAAAATGGTCGCGAAATGTTTTGAACCTATTAACAAATATGTATCATCATCCCCACAAAACATGAGATAAAGTGACAGACGATGCGTCTGTGTTGAAATGGCGTCTACGAGCTCGGAGATGAGCGAAAACGCTCCGAAGATCGGAAAGAAAAGGGAATGAGTAAAGATGGAGGCGGTACTGCGGGATGAAAGAAAAGAGGAGTTTCAGAAGAGGTGCGAGGGGTCTGGATGAAACAGAGGACAAGATGATGGATGGTGCCTCTTCTTCACCCTCCGCGAGCTGAAGGCGTCCCGACGCTGACGACTGTGCTGACGCTAATGAGCAAAATATGAGGCGCCATCCACCCCACCTTCTCCCCCATCACGTCCTCCAAGTTTCCTCTTCGTCGCTAACGTAGTCGTCGTCTGTGTCCTGGTTCTGAGTTTCACCCCTCTCCTCCACCTCTTTATTTTTCTCAACTTCAACGCTTCGTGACTGTGACACCCTTCGACTCATGGCCTTCTCCGGCCTCTCTTATTTCCTGACCTCAAATATTGATTGTCGTTTCGCGTTTCTCTCTTGATAAAACAAGAAGATTCTTGTGACAAATTGCCAAGAGAGATAATATTCAAAATTATGCGGAGATGAAAAGAGAAGATTTTAAGGGGAAACGAACTTTCGGAAGTGGAGAGATGCTAAATTGCCGATTGATTTCTATTAGCTGAACTCGATTCGACTTGGATGGAAAAAACAGTTTTGAGATTTTAATTGAGGAAATCGAAGATTCTGAATTGGAATAAATTTGAATTCTCTTCCCTTTTACATTCTCAGTTCACGTGAGAGTTTTTCATACGGCAGTCTTCTGAATTCAGTCGTTTTTTGACGTCTGTTACATTCATACATGCATTTAGACATATTTCCAACAATAGAAGTTCATGATACAAATGTTGTTTGTAATTGATAATCTTAATAATGCTGTGTCTGATATTATCTTCCTAAAAGATATCAAAGTGAAATCGTTTTTGCATCTATCATTTTTGTTACAATGGGTTCTTCAACTACCCATGTTACTGTTACTCCAATTGTGGACTTACATTTATATTTAATAGAACATTCCTCTCCTCACAATCATAAACACTGGCTGTACCGAGAAGTGCTGACCGTTCGAAGATCGACTATAACAAATCAATGGAAATTTAACTAGGCCATATTAATTAAGTCTAGTATCTCAAACTAAAATTAACACCAGTACCAGTAAAAAATTAGATAGTGATAAATCGTAACTATATATCGCGGTTATCTCTGTTATCATCGGAGCGATTAGATTGGGATAGTCGCTTACTACGATTGCAGACTGTAGCCGTAGTTAGTAGTGCACGGATTGCTCCAGAATAATTAATAATGAGTGTCAATCCGGAATTGTCGAACCTTGAGAAACTTAGAGAGGTGATGCTTGCCTGTGTGAAGGAGAATGGCTATGTAATGGAACCTTTATGGAAAAAAGAGGGTGAACTCTATCGAAATTTCCAAGCAAAACCGGACGATGTTTGGATAATGACGTTACCTAGATCAGGTGAAATCGAAATTCTAATTTATAACCAAGTGTTCACTAATTTGTAGTTGATAAACATTTTTTTTAGGAACCACAGTTACTCAGGAGATTGTCTATCTGCTAATGAATAATTTCAATTTTGAAACTGCGCGAAAATTTCCTTTCTTCGTAAAAGTTGTATCCATAAAGTAAGTATTACGTATTACATGGACAGCAAACGTATTTTGGATAAATTGTATTTGAGTCAGTATGTTAAAAGGTACTTAGATTCATTGCAACGATACTTACTCTTTTGTACAAAAATATAGGGAAAAATTTGCACATTTTTTCAAAACATCTTCACGTTTCATAATATTCGAATCATTTCAAAATAACATCTGTGGTTGCTTCTTCTAAAATCCTGAACGTGCCAATTTGACATCAATACATGAAAAATTTACTTGTTGGCAAATAGAATTGGAAATATTAATATCAATACTGGAGTCCTTCCCGTAATTGGCCGTCCCCCACCTTCGTTGTGTAGCATTACAATTTTTTCGAAAAATGTTCTCTTCTGTAATTTGATAATTCAATAATGCTAGTACGAGCCTCTGTCCTCATCTCTGGACGAATTCTTACGTACTCTTGCCAGGGAAAGATAATCCAGGGGAATGTGAGGTGAGAAAAGTTGATGCCTCAAAATCTTCCGCAGAGGTTTACGCAGATTTACCATCACCTAGATTATTCAAGTCTCACTTGACATTTAGTGTGATCAACAGCATTCTTGAATCTGGAGCAAAGGTAAGATTTTTGAGTCTTTGCTGTTATGTACCATTACGCATATTATTCACAAGAAATCCTATCATACCACTAGCATTTTCACAATTAAAAGAACGAGAATTCATTTTTCTCTAGAATTTTCCGCGAATTTCTATCACAGTTACTCCACGTGATCAATACATTAGTTATTATACTATTTTATCTCACCTCTTTATAGTTGGATTCCATTTAATCTGTGTATGTAGATTATCAAACGGCTTTTTGACCTTATCAGCATTTAGATATTAGATTAGATTTAGCATTAAGATAAAATCACCAACAAACAACTGGAAATTTCTCATTTCATATTACTAGTCATCACCATTCCACAACATGAACTTGAATCCGTCATAATGATTTGAGCTGTATTCATTATTCTAGACGATATACGTCGCCCGAAATCCCAAAGACAGACTCGTGTCTTGGTGGAAATTACTCCCCTCTATGGCACGTATACCATGCGATGTAGATTTTGCAACATTTTGGCGTTGCGTGCGCAATGAACAAAGTTAGTAATGTCCGTCATGTGATTTGTGGAAATATATAATTTTAATAAGTGTTTGAAATTTCAAAGTAGTGGATATATTTGAGGAGGGCCATCTTAATTGGATTACTCCCTTCCACTATATCACGGGGTTTTGAAAATGGAGACAGCCTCACTCCGTATTTTTGAATAACTATAGATATTATCTGTCCACTTTGCATCCCGCTCAATCACTTTCATCCTCTTTCTGAGATACGAGCAATTATTTTTTCGCCGTCATCGTACAGATATTTCCATTTTTTCTCCTGCAAATTTTAAATTGCGGGCAAGATTTTTCTCGTATTTTAATATTTCCTCAAGTCCAAGGCTAAGATGAAAATAAGCTAAACTCTAAACTAAACTAAATACTAAACTAAACTAAACTAAACTAAATAAACTAAATACTAAATGTCAAAGATTTTACTACAATTTTTTTTTAGTTTTGTACGAACCAACGTGGAAGCATATTAAAGAAGGTTGGGCACAACGACACAATCCGAATGTGTTATTCTTATTCTACGAAGATATTCGACAGGCAAGATTTTATGTTCTTCCATGAAACATTAGTAGTAAATTTGGTCATACCTTCGATGCTTATTAATATACGTTTACAACAGGACTTACCAGGCGCGATTAGGAAGATAGCTAACTTTCTGGGAAAACCATGCTCAGAACAACAAATTGAAGATACTGTTCGTTATTTGGACATCGATTCCTTCCGTCAACATGTCTTTGGTGAGGACACCAGACCTGATGCAGAACAACTAAGGAACATGTTCGTAGGAAAAGGTCAAATTGGTGGTTACAAAGATGTTATATCACCAAAAATCGAAAAGGAAATGGATGACTGGATAGAGGAAAATCTTCGTGGTACGGATATAGCCTTTCCAGGATTAAATTGTTAATCTCTCCATCCATACATTTTATTTTGATCATTGCAATGTTGTGAAGTTTTTAGTGTTTCTTGTGTCTTTGAGGGCAGAGTTAGATTTTTAGTTATCGTGGCTACAACTGATTGATTGAGTCAGAAAATTAATCTGACACTTCTACTGTTGGTTTTTCATTACTTTCCATTTTAGTTGTGGTCATATGATTGTTCAATGAATCAATCACTATCTAGTTCTTTGATTTTATTAAGATTGATTTGTGTAAGTATGGAATTTGAACCATTTCATCATAAAACATAATCAATACAATGGATCAGCTCAAACCGAACAGTTTAAGTCAGACATTTATTCGCACTTCGCAAAGGACCTGAATTCAAAAGTTGTCTTATAATTAACAATTACTTAATCGATATGATTTTGGTACTTATAAGTTTGATGATTTGCTTTAGCATGGGTAATTTCTCATGTATTTGTGTACTACGTAAATGATTTTCAATTGAAATATAACGAATGTACTGGTCAAATTACGTTCCGAGAATTACTGAGGGAAATAAAGGAATATAAACAAAAAATATGGAAGGAATTGTTGATTGTAAAATTGAAAGAGAAAACAAAATGACGAACAGTATTATCCTGATTTTGTTCGATCTTTTTTTCGGGATTTTTGATGATCTATTCCTACTGTTATCAATCCACATCACAGAGGAATCGATCAACCCATTACTCATATAGTTAATGAAAAATATGGCAATAATCGCATTTTAGCGACAAATAATTATGAAAACTCCAGTTTTATGCAGGAATTCATTCATCGAAATTTATAAATTTTCTGTGGGTTGTGATAATAATTTCACACCTTAATTGAATTTTCACTGGAACATCAATATTCAGCAATAAAATGACACGAATTCTCAACATTTCCCGCATTAATTAAAATAATTTTAAATAATTAAATGAGAAAAAAAGAACATCATGAAGTGGTCAATCGCGTGCACAGAAAAACTATAGAATATTTGATTTTTCAATGGCCAAATTTTCTGAAAATTGAATGCAACCTGAACCCAAAATGACAATTTTCAAGAGTAAATCATATTCACCATTATTCATCACAATCAAAATGAGAAATTGATTTGGCCACCTACACACTTTGAAAAGTAATCACTTGTCGTAAGTAAATTTATTAACGATCTAGAAAATCACAAATTTTAAATGCTAACATCCGTATACATTTATTTATTTCGATTAAATTTACAACAGAGCCGTATACTTATAAGTTGATTTAGCCCAAGAATGTTTTTTCAATTTATTATGAGACGAGTTAAGCATATAAACTCGATCCGAAAAAACCATGAAAGGTCACTGTCCCGAGACAAAAATTCCCGGTCTATGTAAATGATTAGTATAAAATATTTTTGACGTTCTCCGAGTGAACCCAACACATTAGCATTCGTGACGTGCCTTGACGGTGTACCGCCCTCTGCGGTTTGCACACTCTGAAATGATACTACCATCGATAAATGTCGGGTTAATGAGCACCGTTGGTGTGTTCTAAACCATACCAACAAGAAGTCCACCCATAAATGCCTAATTGCAGGCAAATTGATTCATCATGAAACCGGTAATTATTGAAGCATCATTTCAATTCATGAATGATTCAGAAAAATTACAATGATTAAAACGTCTGGTGTTGTTATTTAGATGTTCATGTACCTGAGTTAAGACTAATGCCAGATGCTTGGCATCTTCTCTTCAACGCCACTGCTCCGCCTCTTGCTCGACGCCGCGACGCTTCCGACCCCTCCGGAATTCGCATGTCATTTACATAATTGGCCCAGAGAGAAGCTCTCGACGTTTTCATCGTCCAGAACTCCAATGACGCTCAAAACCAAGGACCATGTCCACCCTCTTCATCCTCTCCTCCCACTCCTCCCACTCCTCCCACTCCACTCTCCCTTCTTTGCCTGTCCACTCATTTCATCAAAGTATTGTGATAACGCACTCAGCACTCATGCAGATTCCTATATTCACTAAACTGTGAAGAGAAATTTTCACTAATATCCACAACGATAGAACCATTCATTTATTATTGACAAATAGATTTTTTCAAACCTTTTCCACGTACTCGTTTGTTAAGAATAACAAAACGACTTGCGATTGCATACTCAAGAATCATTCTCAACCCTTTTTGTATCGATAAACATAAAGTGCACAAATGATAGGCGCGTAAAGTCACCGAACATCAGAAGTGATTAATTGAAAAATTATTTGGGTTAGAAGAGGAACAAATCCTCACCAAAGAGAATAAAGTTGGAGGGTGTGAATAACTCAGGAGAAGTGGATATCAAAGGAGACGACGAGCGGGAATATAAATCCCCTTTGCAACACCATAGAACCAACTTCCTCAAAGTCATAGAGTACTTCTCAACGTTTCGGAATTTATCGCTCTCGTAACTGAACACTTCCTTTCGAATTTCAACTTCGTGTTTTCAATTTATTTTCTTTCAGCTTTCTCAGGAGTATTCTGCCATGGTTTGACGATAAGAATCGATTTTTGAAGATACACTATTTAATATTTGCGACGTTTGCTTTCTAGAGAGTTCTAAATCTGTTTTCCTAGTTTAAACGCAGAATCTTTTATTCGAACAGTTCATGGCGCATTGAACTTGAAGTAAATTCGTCAATCAAGTATTTACTGGAATGATGAATGTGGTGCTCTGTAGATTTACAAGTTGTGGGAAGATAAATTTCAGCAACATCATCTATATTTGGTTCAAAGACATGATTTTTTCAAGAAAAACTATTTTCTTTGCAGTTGTTGTTCACAAAACCATTTCCACAGCAATGAAGATATAATATCTAAGTATTTAACTTAAATGCTGTGTCTTTGGAATTTTTGTACACCTGGAATTTAAATTTGTTGAATAATTAAAATATGTAATATGAACGCCGAACAGAGTAGAAAATTATAGAAAGCGACAGTGAAGATGTGACTTGTCAGAGAACAAAGTAGCCGAAGTTAAATCATGCCGCCGAATATAACAGTCGTAAAAACATTGATATTTACAGAGAAATATAATGACGACTTGTGTACTAAAAAGGGTATCACAAAGTTTAGGACGTGCCTAAATTCTAGGGGTCAGACCGATGGTCATAAAATCATGAATTACTTGTGGGGGACGGAAAAGCAAATGATTTTCCCGAGTTTCCAGATACAGGAGACAATAAATGTCGCTGACAACGATGCCAAATAGTAAAATAGCCTTTTCCCGACCGAAAGCACATTCATGAAACATTTTTTGAAGTTACTGTATATTTCGTGAGTTAAGTTCTATCATAATAAAGATAGGGTTTTCAATGAAAAATTGTTTGTAATTATATAAAGCGGAAAAGCTTTCCGTTGAGTCAGAGACGGGGGCTTAGCACCCCCTAGTGACATCGGGCCCAATAGAAGGGCCCCACAGGGTGAGTGGACAGAGTCGGAGGGCAATTAGGCACCCGGGCCCTGATCTGCCAACTGGACACTACTTTGACTACCCTCCAACGTATTTTTGTATATTGTTGTCGCGCGATTTCAGAGCGTGTATTATATTATATCGTATACAACTTATTAAATAAGATTGTTTAAATATCCAAAAATAAATAAAAGTTATTACTACATTTCGTTTTTACGATTGGTTCATTAAAAAATTTTTAGAGTAATAGGCTACGAAATTGTTGAGTTTTTTCGAAGGTTGAACTATTAAATATAATAAACCAAGTCTGCAACGAAACACAAAGCAGTGGTAACATATCGAAGAAAAGAGAATAATTATTACAATTTAAAAATTTTCATATATCCCAGATCTTCCAAGGGGTCATAGAACTTTTTTCCGATGTTCAAAATAGGGATTCAATTTTAGAGAATTAATCCTGGTCAGATAATCTATCTATTTAAACAACGCTAGTGCAAAAATGAATGTCAGGACTTTAGCCAAAAGCGGAAGAATACAAAAACTGCGAAGTGAAATACCTATCAAATTAGAATCATTGATTCATGAAACATGAACGTGCAGACATGATACTGATATCGATCCACCAAGATAGTGCAAACCCTCCAATTTCAAGATAAACGAGACCTACTGCGCATTCCGTGCGCCAATTTTAAATTTGACGGTTCGAGTTGACCAATGAGGAATTGACCCTACGCGTATCGAGATATTTCGACTCGGGCGAACTTCATTTCGGTGTTTCTATTTTCATAAAAAGGACATAAGTTCAGGAAAAATGAATTAAAAAGTGAAATTAGTCATGACTATGAAAACAGCCGAAACTGTTGAAAGCAGCACATTCTTCAAATTTATAGCTATAATTTATCAAAACTTTTTCACAATTTAATTTGCTCAATCAATATTGAAAGCAGAAATTCAAAATCTTTAATAAGCACTTTTATTTATTTTTCCAGGTCTCTAAAACAAGCGTAAAAAAAAATCAAACTGAAAAAACTTCTAACACAATGACTCATGATAGAAACTACCCCAAAAGAAACAACCATTAAAAACAAAATCAAAGATTTGCGTCAGTTGACTGTATTTCATACGAATATTGATTGTAAATAAACACATACACATTTATCAACCAAACAACTCACATGAGTCTTAACCCAATTATTCAGTTCGCTGAAAACATAAACTCGATTTCAAACAGCGCATTCCTTGAACTATTTGTAATAATTTTTTCCCGACAATGTTTTTTAAGATACATTTTCCAGAACGAAGTTCAAATTATTGGAGTTATTCTTAAGCGAGGTTTTATTGCCAATTTTTTTTGAAGTTGCTGGGATTTTTTCAACACCATGGGAGCTGCGGTTCAATTTCAATTTTCTTCAATTCCAATTGAACATATTGAAAAATCAGTATTCCTTCGATCGCTACAACATCAATTATATAATGGACAACAAGTGAAAAAAAAAACTTGAAAAATGGTCGCGTGCCAATGAAAGTTGGAGATCAACCGTGAAATGACGAAAACAGAAAGGCATTTCTTAAGGTAGCCCTCTCCACGGTACACACCCCCTATCTTATCGGTACCTGAACATCGAGAGTGGCACGTGAGGTCAAGGCAGTCCTTACGTCGACGCCACGCAATTTCTCCTGAGAGCGAAGTTTATATACTCTTATTGGGATTGTTGTATTGACCACTGAGTTATGTGTTACAAACCCATAAAGCTACGGAGACTGGCCTCAAGTGAAATTGCACTGTAATACCAATGCGGATGCAAGAGGTCACCTCGGTTTCGGACGTCGCGCCGCTTCCTTCCGATAACAAACGACCAGCGCGCACGCTTCTTGGCTACTCTAACTCATTCCGGACTTCATGCCATATACTCCATACGGCTATGGAATCCAACTTGTCGGTTTCTTCAGTTTTTTCTTGCCAGGAACTATCTGACCCTCAAAGTCAGGTTACCTTAACAAATCGTGGGAAGTCCATCAAAGAAATACTATGGAACTTGCCCTTTGCAAGCGGCAGGAGAAGGGCATATCGCCACTTAAGGAATGCAACTCTATATAATCAATCAATCAATAATATAT